GGCTATGGCCTCTACATAGTGTATCAGTTCACTTGAGAAGTTTTCAAACATGGCAGTTTACTTTATACTGTCCAACATTTGCGGTGCAAATTAGCTTAGTGGTTGAAAAACATCCCAAAGCTCCCTAAGGCAAGCAAGTAACATGAGAAACTCACTGCAAAATTTAGACACACGGTTCTGGGTGACTGAAAATTCAATAATTTAACCATTGTTATAGGAGAACAAAACAGCAACTATGCTACCGGATCACAATCTACAAACGGCATAGAACGGTGAGTGTGAAACGAGGGAATGAAAAAAATCTAATTTGCGCAGAGAGTACAAGCAAGTAAGTAATGCGCCACAAGAGCGAAGAAAATGCAGTTCACCTAAGGATAAGCTTTCGGTTCATTTTTAATTCTGGTACTATAAGCTCTTGTTTGCCTACTCCCTCTTTCCCAGAGCGATTGGTGTAGTTGGATCACACCAGAACCCCGTGAACTCGCATTTCACTTTATTTGGTAATAATATCGCAGTGAGATCTGAATCCTAGACATCTGATGCGCGAGGAGAAAATGTTGCCATTACTTTGCCAGCACACTCTGGGCGCGTTTGAAGTATATCGTCTATATTCATTTTTCATGTGATCTGGTTGCTTTTCCTGGCTGTTTTGATCAAAAACTCAGTAATCATGCTGACTGGCTAGCCATTCATGGATTTCCTCAAAGGTAGCAGGGAGAATGTTCGAGACCCGTGAGTGGTTTGTTTGATTACTTGTATACAGCTAAGAGGTTTTCAGAATTTTGTGACTTCATCATTATCTTACGGCAGTCCTGTTCAAGCTCAAGTGATGTGAATGCTAATTCTACAAACCGTGACACTGTACACAATGATTTAGATACAATTTATAGTTAGCAGGGAAGTTTCAAAGTTTCATTGTTTATATGCTCCTGGCAGCAGACTGGGTCTATTCTAAAAAAAACATGAATCGCAGCTCACTTGATTCTGCCTTGCGAAAAAACACCAGCAGTGTACATCTCATAGGTCTTTGGAGAGATCAAAAATTGTGAACCTTCGTTGTAGGGTCATTCGTTTCCAAAGGCGGTGTTCCAAATTTTTTCAGAAGATTGTTTCTGGTTCGTTCTGTCTTGAGTTTACGAATTCTGGAGTGAAACTGATGCGATTCTTGCACAAAAGTCCAATCTAAAAAGTTAGATCCTCAGTTAGTCGCCAAATATACACTTTATTTGTTATACCAGCCTAATTGGACTGATTCAACCTGACATTAGGAGTTGCGTTTCCTAAGAAAATAGAGAAGAAAGTCGACTCTTCCAGTATCAACTGAAGGCACAGTTTTAATATTTCTAAAATCCTCATAGGGGATTGTCTTTTTGAGTACGAAGTGGGTCTGAGGGGCATTTTAGGGAGCGGTATCCGGAAATGAGCCAGGACCAGAGTACCACAAATGAACCATTTTGGGAACTTTTCGGTTTGCAACTAAACTGAAAATTATGGGGACAAACCAGAAACGGGAGACTTGATGAAGTTCATTGGCCCCATGAGTTTAGTTAGCTCCCCTGTCGCCCAATTTTATGCTACCTATTACAACGTTTGGAATTGTTAGCACGATTCCGCAACTTGGTGTTTAAGGGCAAGGATTCATTTCTGTGTCTTGTTAATTTACGGCCTTGAATCGATGGTGGAATTAACCTACAGTGTGCTCCTTCTGAGCGAGTAGCTCTCTGTTACGACCGCATATGGAAGGCCAAGTCAAATTCGTTTTGCGAACCATCGAAATGGCAGCACAAGCTCAATTGTTTCTCTTCTAGAATAAAAGTTCAGGGTACACCGTAAATTCTTATCCGAAACCCAGAGTTATGATGGAGTCCACAGCCACTAACTCTTGGAGCGAGCCTTTCAGTCGAACTGGAAAGCGGCGTCTTTAAAGAGATTTCGCTCTGTCACATACTACTTTCCAATATCGTTTATTGAGGTGGACTAATTGACATATCAGTTAAATGTCACTTGAAATGAGCCCAACTTCAAAGGGTGATTTATTATTGCAAGCATAATTTGACTCTAATTTCTACTCGCCTCCCATAAATGTTAAACCGATCAGCAATGGGAACATTTGGAGGCATCAAGTTAGCGCAATGTTCAGAAGAGTACACGGGGCCCTTGACACAATTCACTCTTTTCCTATTGGCAGAGTGGACAGAAGGTTCAAATATGTTCTATCAATCGAGTCATGTGACATGCTTTTGGTCTGTTCTCCGTCTGCCCGAACGTGTGGAAAAGAAAGCGAACGGAACTAGATTGAGGGTATAGAAATGGCTTTGGAAAGTCGAATGTCCAGAGTGTTTCGACTAAGCCAACACCGTAGGACAGTGAGTGTTTATGATATTGAACCAGAAGTTGTGGAAGAGGAAGACACTCGCTGGTACCTGAAATGCGTAAAACGTGCAGAAACACAAAAGGGTGAGGGAAAAGCAGATAAGCCGAGGATTTCGCGTTATTTTCAAAGAGTGCATGACGATAAGGCGAACGCGGTGGAAGCGATTCTTTTTCATCGCGATGATATGGTTATGCAAGAAAGGGTAAACTCTCAAATCCGGAAAATGTTGAGCAGGATCAGAGTTCTGAGGGAACCAGAGTTTATGAATTTTCTTGACCCGAATTCGGCCACAGCAAGAGCGTTCGCCTTGAACTTTTCTCGAAATGAAGTCAGACAGGCCTTACTCTGCATTATGAACTCTGCAATCGGTCATGAAGAAGTTGTTCATGACAGAGATGGGAAAGAAGGATAACATGTGACTACATGGGCAGTATTTTCGTTCTACTGGCTATTTGTGGTTCTTTTGAAGTTTGGAATGAAAGCCGCGTCTATGGAAACAAGAGGCTTTCGAAAACCACAAGAAAATTTGTCTTCAACCACAAAAAATCATTTGATCTCTTTCGAATTCTTTATTACTAACTCCCTTGGGACCTACTCGTTTAAATGCGTTGTGGGAGATATTTTTGGTCTAAATTGTAAGTGCGTAGGCTCCCAGAAGAGAGACGGCTCCAAAAGGAGGTGACTACTCTCG